AACAAGCTCAGAGGAACGTGGTTGGGGACCCTTGGGGGCCTTCCAACATCACTGAAATCACATGTTGTAGGCAGCTGTGTCTCCCCTCCATGTCCCTGGACCCAAGGCCCCTGTTCTGTCCTGTAGGGGCTTGATGCCATTACACCTCATCTTCCTGCTGATATGAACCACATACCGCACCCCTTCCCAACCCCCAGCAGCCTTCAGACACCTGGAGACAGGGCACAACCTGCTCATTCTCTGAATAAGTGGCCATACTTCATTTGCTATGAATTTCCCAAAGTCCCTGCCTGAAAGGGATGATGTCATTCGACATGTAATGGGGGAAAAGAGCCCTTTTTATCTTCCAGCTACAAGGGGAAGCAGGCTGCATCTGGGAGAGATGGTATAGCAGGGAAAGAGCTCTGAGTGAGGCCTGGCTCACCTGTGCAGGGCAGGCAGGAGAGAAGGATTCAGAGCCCCATCAGACTTCTGGGGGGCAGAGGGAAGAGACACACAGGAGCTAGGACAGAGGCGTAGGCCTCCGGCCTGAAAAAGCAAATTTCTTGCTGATTCAGAGAATCAAGCAGTTTCTATCCTGCTGGTACTACAGTAAAGGCAAAGAGGAAGAAGACACAGTCCCTGCCCTCAGGGTGGGGAGTAGAGGATCTTGGCGGAATAGCCCAAAACAGCAGAGGAAAAAAGGTTGGGAAGAGTGGCAGGAAACCTGGTGCAGGCTAGACCAGTGTGACTCTCACTCACACTGCGCCTAGTTTCCTCAGCCCCTAAAGGGTCATGAAGAAACAGTGGTGCTCTTCCTAAAGTAAAATGAGATCCCTGATGTGAAGCCCTAACCCAGCACTGGGCACTGTCTGTGCCTCACAAAATGTCAGTTCTGGTTTTCCCTTTCTGAGCTGAGCTGCCTGGGCATCTTCCTGCAGGCCGTGGGCAGCCACAGGTGTCTATGAGCAGGAAAGGAATTTCAGAATCCTGGCAGAGAGGGAATTGGGAAGGCTATGAGAGGGGCTTGTGGAAAGTTAATTCAAGCCTGCTCTGACCACATCCTGGCAAAGACCAAAAGCTCTAATGGGATGCACTGAGGTCCCGGGGCCGGGTAAGTTACTGGAATGGGAAGGCTTGCGGTGATCCCCCTCACGCCCTGCATGAGGCAATAATATCATGTCTGAAATCTCTTCCGGAAAGCTCTCTAGAGCTCTCAAGCAGTGGGGGCTGCCAATCCCTGGTCCCCCAAGCGGAAGCAGAATGTGTGGGATAGAGAGGGAGGGACTATACCCTCCCTTATCAATCATCATTGCCAGCCATTTTTCACTCCAGCTAAAATTTAGTAGGTATATTAAAATGCATCCAGGCACAATAAAACCTTGTTTGAAGTTTAAAATATAGCTTGTCAGATGAGTATTTAGTGGTGTGTTTTAATATGCAGAAGTGCAAACCAGAATTTAATGTGTAGGCTAAAGCACACATTAGCAATTTCATAAGTGATCGGAAATTGCAGTGTACATGAGCAACTTGGGGGGGAGGGCGGGATGGGGGAAAGAGGGAAACAAAAGATCATAAAACCTTGGGATTCATTTTCTCTTTTCTTTATTGCCCTAAGTAGGACCTTGAATTCCCGGGTGAATTTATAATGGCATTTCCTCTTATTTATTTATTACTTTATGTTATGTTTTATTGAGATGGAATTCACATAACATAAAATTAACCCTTTTACTCTGTATAATTCAATGGCGTTTAGTACACTTGCAGTACTGTGCTCAGTAATGTCACCTCCATGGACTCCCCTAACAGTCCCATCACCCCCAAAGGAAACCCTGATCCACTAGGTAGCCATGTTCTCCATTAAGCAGTCCCTCCTCATGTCACCTCCCTCCAGCCCCTGGCCATGACTAATCAGCTTTCTGTCTCTATGGATTTGCCATTCTGGATCTCTCTCTCTTTCTCTTCCTTTAAAAAATTTATTGATTGATTGATTGATTTGATTTGATTTGTTTCTTTCCTATGATGCATAGGAGCTGGTGTGTTTCTCTGGGCCACTAGCAATGCCTGCTGCCTTGGAAGAAGTCAGAGGTTGTGGTGCTGGGAGCCCGTTTGTCGATGTGTAGAAAGGAGAGGGACTGCAGGATAGAGCCTAGCTTTCTCGAATCACAATATATGTAGGGCTAGGAGACTGGCCTACTACATTTTTCCTAAGGAGGCTGTTAAACTTTTTGTATCACTGACCCCTTGGCAGGACCTCTTCTCAGAACAATGATCTGAATAAAATAAAGCATATGGGATTGCAAAGGGAACCAATTAGATTGAGATGCAGTTATAAAATACTGAAGTATTTGGTGGTCAAGTAATATATAAGCTTCTTTATTAACACATTCAATAGCAAGATCTAGCTGTGGGTCTAATAACACTGTAATTTTAAAGTAGGAAGAGGTGTAAATTATATTTTGAGATGTCTGCAACACTGTAATGTGGGATGAAGATATCTGATTTCTACTGGTGGCAAAGTCACAGGTATTGCTAATAATACTGTAGCTTGTTGCTTGTGTTCATAATTAAACAGAACAAGAATGTATGTTTGTGAAAACAAAGATATAATTTCCCCCCCATCCCAGTTCACTCACAGACCTTAGTTAAGATGGTTTTGAATCTGTTTTCAGCCAGGGGTCCCTCTGAAAATCTAACAAAAACTGTCTGCAGACCTTTTCACCAAAAAAAAAAAAAAAAAAAAAAAAAAAAAAAAAAGCATTTGTCTACAGGCACAAGAATTATATCATGTTTGTGGACCCCCTTGTGCCCATCCATGGACAGTTTCCAAGCCACTGGACCCCAGGTCCAGTGACTTGTAGCTACTTGGACTAGTTTCCAAGTCCAAGCCACTGGACCCCAGGTTAAAAATGCCAGTTCCAGATGTACCAACGGTCAAGGGCACTGAATCATTTAGGATTCTTTGGCTATAAATAACAGAAATTAACTCTGGAACCAGGAAGTTTTAAAGGGCCTTTGTGGGAAAAGCTTCTGGACAGTCTTATCTGCATCTCACATCCGGGATGAGTAAGCTCCATCCACAGCCAGGCTTTTGACTCTTTGATCATTGTTCCACGTTCTGTTCATGTCTGAGTGGCCTGAGTTGGGCTGGATGCCCTTCCCTTCACTAAGGGAAGGCTAGTCCCCTTGATGAAATACTTCAGCAGACTGTATCTAAAGAGGACGAATAATGTGTCAGAGGCAATCTAAGACACTATTGTGAAAAATAATTGTTCTTAAAGAAAAAGAAGAAGAAAAGATAAGGGTGCGGACAGGAGGCAGGCAAAAGAAAAGCTCACTTTGCATCCCATGAAAATAAGTGATGAGTAATGACACTGTTTTAAAGACTGTATTTATATAGTTGAGAGAGAGCAATCAAGCATGGGTGGCGGGAGGGCCAGAGGGAGAGGGAGAAGCAAGTTCCCTGATGAGTGGGGAGCCAGATGTGGGGCTCAATCCCAGGATCCTGAGATTATGACCTGAGCTGGAAGCAGATGCTTCACTAACAGAGTCACCCAGGCACCCCTGATTTTTTCCCCCCTTAATTCTAAGACATACCTTCTGGGAACATTCTGATGCTTTTGAAATCATAACACGACTCTCAGTATGTACATATGTTGAAAGCAGCCCTGCCTTCCTCCCCACTCTCAGGAAGGTAAACTGTTGTTAAATCCGGGTTGCATCCTACTGTGGAGGAGTCTTAGAACTGGAGGAAGTATGGCCAGACAGAGTCAAAGCCATTCACGCTGATGACTTGAAGCATCAGGGAGCACACCCCAACCTATGCACTCCAGGCCAGCTTCTTTTCATCTTTACCAAGGCATACTTTACCTAATTTGGCTGTGATTTCAAATCAGATGTTTGTGGCACTACTGATTGTGGAGCTAGAACTCAGTCCCATTGAATTGGTGTTCATGGAGCCGTAGCTACAAGTCAAGCTCTCTTCCAGGCACTGCGAGCGTTACAACAGGAGGTGAACACAGAGCTTTCTGCTCTCCGAGAGCTTACAGCTAGGATGTTGAGACTGGACACACATGCCTGCACCACAAACCTTTGTCATATTCACTTGGAAGGTCTACCTTAGTGCTGCGAAGGGAAACCAGGAGTTCAGAGAGCTGAGTGGAGGAGGCAGATCGTGGGGATGTCCCTGCTCTGAACTTGTGTGGAGACAGGGCTCCTAGGACTCTTCTTAGAGGGGAAGAAGGCTCTGAGAAGTTGCACACCTCATCTTGGTCATTATCTAAGAGATACAGAAGCCTTGGGTGAAGAGAGCCATGGACCCAATGGGCTTCTCATGAGGCCAATACCCTCTCAAGTCTCTGTTTAATGGTCTCTTCCAGAAAGATCTTCCCAGACCCCTCAATTTAAAACTAGGTCTCGCTATCAAACTGAGAGTTCCTTGTTCTCCTTCCAAACTCTTAGCAGAATTTGTAATTCTATGTTTATTTTTCTCTCCACTGGTCTGTGAGCTTCTCTAGGGAGGGGAAGGACTGTGTCTTTTTGCTTGCCTCAGTATCCACAAGTTTCAGTATACGGCCTGCACATACAAGGTGCTCAGCGAATATGTGTGGACTGGTTGAAAAGTTAAGTATCTGCTAGAAACCATACCAGGGCTTTCTGCTAATGGGGAAGCGCGACTGGGGACAAGGACGCAGTTTTCTGGAAACACCTTTTGGTGTCAGAAGTGTGCCAGACAAAAAGGACGGCTGTTACAGAAGTCATTGATGAAGATCTGGAGATTATGGATCTGAGAGCTAAGATGACTAACAAGTGCTGCTTTTCTGGGTGGAATTTAAACCTGAAGTAGATTATTTACAACCTATGGAACAGAGGTGGAGCTTCCATCCTACCCTCGTGGGCTGTTCTGTCTTTAATGGGACTGGGGTGGGGGGAGGGACAGTGTTGTTAGTGTGGTCCTTCTTTCCCAAGCCAAACCCACAACAAAACAAACCAAAATATTAAAAAATGAAACTCTAAAGGACTTAGAGAAGCCTGAAGACAGGCAAGTTAATGAAGCTCTTATTTCTCCTTGAAATAGAAATTTAACATTTGCCAGCAGGGAGAAAGTTGTGAAGAAATTGAATTGAAAGAATCCACTGGGGTTCTTGGCTTGAGAGTTTGCTTTGGTTGTTGGCAGCAGGGAAGGCGTAGGGATTCCTTTCCCCTCCTTTAGCTGCAGACTTAAATTTCACAGAACCAGAGGCAGTGAGCGTGAAGATCTTGGTTGAACTTTCCATGCGTGCTTCGGTGCCTCTGTACAAATGAAAGCAGAGATCTTTAAATGTTTCCTTCGATAGGATTTTATATCTTTCTGGAAGTGGGAAAGGCTACCTTTACCATAGAATTAAGTATAATTGTGTTCAAAGTCTCTGTTTAAAAAAAATACATTTGACATTACTACCAGTAAGAAAAAGACATTTTTATTGTAATACTTGATACTTAGTAGTTTTCTCAGGGGAATTCAAATTCTAGCTAAGTGGTTGGAACTGGTAGGCTAGTTTCTGGTGGAAATACAAATGTCTGGGGACTTAATGCCCTCCTACCCCTCAAGTATATGAAGTTGCATATTTTCCCCTCGAGGATTAGGGAAGATAAATGTCACCCCTTGTCTAGTTCTAAAAAAAAAGTCCTTCTATAAAGTCAGGCTTCTGGGAATTTGCATCAGATTGAAGTTCAACTTCATATGAAGCGGTTAATTGTTTGACCTCTATATTCAGCTCTGCCTGACTTAAATGTTTGAGGTGTCAGTTTTACCCTTTGTTAACAGGGACTAAAACCAGTACCTCTTCTTAGGGTTAAGTGGTTTCCCTTTGGTAGAACAGTGTTTGGTGACCTAGGAAAGACTCGTCCTGATACACACGTGCATATGAGTGTGAGGACAGACACCTGTGCACATATATGCACACAACGTCACTGACTAGACCTCGAACCCAGGGTTTCATTCCCAGCAGGACATCTCCAGAACCTCGGGCACAGATGCAGTCCTGGGAGTGAAGCCTCGTTAGCCCCATGTTCTGACCAGGGGAGCTATATGACTGCCAAGTAGACGTGAGGCAGAAAGGGAAACAGAGGCTGCTGGGTGCTCGAGACTAAACAATAGTGGGCTGAGTGACAAGCTACCGAGTCAGCTGAGAACTTGCAGGGCTTTGTCCAGGGGCCTGAGATGGAACACGGGTCATTTCTGAGGCTTTCGAGTTGCATGGACCAGTACGGATACAAAAAGCGGCTGGGAGGAAACTGAGGCTGCCAACTTCTCATTTTGCCAAAAAAAAAAAAAAAAAAAAAAAAAGACCAAAATCAAAACCCCCCAACTATCACAAATACAATATTCACTTATACAAGAAAGGAAAACATTTAGCTTTGCATTGCTCTTATGACTCTCAGGTTGCCCCTGAATGGCCAAAACCGCTCCACAGACGAGCTGCCCCCACACAACCGAGGATAAGCCTGAGGCCCCTATAGAGACCACTCGGCAGGCACACACAGGGGCCCAGGGAGCACGTTTATGAACACACGCTGCCAACCTCTGCCCCTGGCTGCTGAACCCAATTTCAGGTCTCAGGGTTGTTACTTCTGCAAACACTCTGAGGCACTTAGACTTCCCCATTGGAGACCTCTCCCTCTTGCTTTGCTGCTGATAAAATTTATCCCCAGCCCAGCATAGTGCGACAGGGCACATCCCTGATGCACCAGGCAGTGTTTTCTCATTTATCCTGAGTGTGAGTCCTTGTCCGGTTCCCAGTGTCGCACACCGACCCAGCATGGCAAGTGTTCTACAGATCTGTGTCTTCACTTCCTTCATGACATTCCAAGACAGCGAGCCCAAGGCACAAGTGCTCATCAGTCCTCTCTGCTTTTTCCATGTTTGCTTACATCCCATTGGCCCACGAACGTTACGTAACCTAGTCCAAAGTCAGCATGGGAGGGGGCTGCAGCAAGGCCACGGACACTGAGCATGATTCCTTAGAGGTCATTAGTGCAACAATGTGTGAACTTCCCTTCTTCGACATGCATTGCAAGATACAGAGCCTTAACTTATAAATTATGGTGCTTTCACAAAGACGCAATAGAGATGTTATTACCAGTATAAGGAAGCATTTGGAGTCACCTTATTAATGGACTGGATCCTACATCAAATGGCTCTGCTTGCCTCATAAAATTACTCATTAATTTTTAGCAGTGGCTTTGGGAAGTTATGTACATAATATTTAGAGGAGAATGGCATTTACAATTATAATGAATTCAAGCAAGCCACACAGTAATACCACTGGCCCAGTTTGGGACTTGAGGCTTGCTAATTTCATATTTAATGGCACACATGTCTCCCTCCCCCATTCCTCCCCCCGAGTACGTGTGGCTGAATGAACATGCCTGTCTCATCTCCTAGAACTCAAACTCCTTCCAAGGTAGGCATCTCACCTCCCCCATGCTTATTTTCCTCACCTATACTACTCAGTAGACGCTCCCTAAATGCTTGTTGAAATGATCAATCAATCATTGCCTTTTACTAAACACTTCTGTGTTCCAGGGACTGCACTCAGAGACTGGGTCACCAATTCTCTCAATGCCCCAGATAAGGGTCATTCTCTACAGTTCACCCCTGAGGGAACTGAGGTGCCTAAAGCCCAAGGGGGATGGGCTGGCCAGCCCAGTCCCACCTGAGGGCAGGACACTTTCCTCACAGCTGCGTTAAGTAAGGAGCAGGAAGCAGACAGTCAAAAGTGAAAAGATGGCCTCCAGTGTGCAGAGAGGGGCCAAGGGAAGAGGAAGAGGGAGTCGATAGCCATGACCCTCAAACTGTTCACTGCCTTTGCAATAAAATAAACACTTGTTAATGAAGACATTGGCCAGCGAAAGGCTGCTTGAAAACCCTGTAGGAGAGCCAGTTCTTGGGCTCTTTAAACAATCAACACCAGAGAATTCTTGGTGGTGAGGAGGGACTGGAGAGGCCTTTTGGGCGGGTGACAGTCCCACAGGTACAGGGTATTAAGGCTGTCCTCAGGTGAAATGTAGCCTTTTTTTTTTTTAGCGTTTCATCTATAGTTTTTATAACCTACTAGATCAGTAATAATAGTAAAAATTGCGACCATTTTAGACACTACTGTTACGTGGCGCGAGCGCGCGCGTGTGTGCGCGTGCGTGGCAGGGCAGCTGGGCAAAGAGCTTTGCATACAACCCATGATCTCATCTAATCCTCACAACAACGCGTTGGACATAGATTTTACTATTCTTAATTTACAGATGAGGTAACTGTGCCCAGGGAGACCGGCTTCCCGGAGATTTCCTGGCTTCTGAGTGGTAGAGCCCAAACCCTCAGTCTATTTGACTAAATGCCCCATATAACATTTAGCTGTGGGCTCTGCACGGCTTTGGTGCTGGTCTGAGGTGGGAAATCGGGAATCCCATTTATTCAAGCTAAGCTGCGCACGTGTCTGTGTAATTTACAAAAACAAATCCAGGTCAAGATATCCGACCGCTGGGGGCGCCTGGGTGGCTCTGTCTTCAGCTCGGGTCCCAATCTCAGGGTCTTAGGATCGAGCCCCACATCGGGCTCTCTGCACGGAGGGGAGCCTGCTTCCTCCTCCCTCTCTCTCTCTCTCTGCCTACTTGTGATCTCTGTCTGTCAAATAAATAAATAAAATCTTTAAAAATTAAAAAAAAAAAAGATATCCGTCCGCTGGAGGTTTAAAAGCCTCCTGTGGCGAGCTGCACAAATCTCTACTCATTCATTCACTCTTTCGTTCCCTCAGCAAGTTATTTATTGCGCACTTCGGTATTCCAGGCAGGGCGCAAACCTAGCCCTAGCGGAGAGAATGGCTAGCGCGAGAGACGTGGTGTTTGGCTCCCCTGCACCCACCCCCGTCCGCCCCCTCTCGGACTGTAGTACCTCGTGGGCGACCCAGTCCAAGAAGCAGGAAATGTGTCACCCCGAGGATGACCCGTACCGGGGGCGCCAAGCGGCTGGGTGGTCAGGGCAGCCTCCCTGGAGGCGGCGTCAGCCCGGGCCCGGTACGCGCCACTGGTCCGGCGGCCCTGCGGAACCCCATCGGAGGCGAGCGTCTGGGCCCGGCCGAGCCGGGGGCGGGGGGGGGGGGCGGGGGTGAAGGCGGGGAGCTGGGGCCCAGGTCCGGGCGGGGGGGCGGCCGGCGAGTTAGGGTTAGGGCGAGAGGATTCGGCTTCCTGGCGGCAGAGGGCGCCTGGCGCTGCGGTCCGGTGCGCCGGAGCCGCCCGCGCGGGCGCCGAGAGAAGAGGCGAGGCGGGGAGCGCGAGCGGCGGCGGCCACTGCCACGTATTCCCGGCAGTGGCGGCGGCGGCGCGGGAGGAGGTGAGCGGCGCCAGCGCCCGCGGGCAGGTGGGCAGGGAGCGGCGCGGCGGCGCAGCCGGAGGGCGCAGGGATCGGGCGCCGGGCACGGGGCGGGGGTGCCCGCTCCGGGACAGCGCGGTTCCCGCCACTCCGGCTCCGCCTCCGCGCCGGGTTGCCGGCCGAGGCCCGGGCGCCGAGCCGGTCCCGAGCGCAACTCGTGCCGGCGGGGCGGGCGGGGGCCGAGGGGCCGCGAGCCCTCCAGCCAGTCGCGGCTCCGGACGGGAGTCCCCGCCGCTGCGGGAACGGGGCCGCGGCCGGAAAAGTTGGGGCGGACCGCTAGCCCGCGTGGGCCAGGCGGGAAGTGCGGGTGCGCGGCGGACCCCGGGGGACGCAGGGACGCGGTGAGGGGCGGTCCCGGGCGGGAGGCGCGGCGGCCGGGAGGGCCCCTTTTGGGAAGGCGGGAGCCGCGCGGCTCCTCCGCGGGCGGGGGAAAAGGAGGTGCGCGCTGGCTCTCCCGGCTGCAGTGGGCTAGTGTCCGACCGTGGGGGGCGGGGGGAGGGCGTCCGTCCCTGCGGGTGAGGAGGGAGGGAGAGAGGCCCTCCTTGGGTGGACGAGCACGGCGAGGGGGGGGGCGGGGGCGAGCCGATGGCGGGGTAGAGCGATGAGGAGTGGGCTTTCCCTACTTTCAGCCTCCATTGGGGCAGACCCCGAGACAGGGGTCAGGCTCAGAGTTGGGGACACCTCTGGCGTCTGAAGACCGGATGGGGAGATCTTTTAAGGGGTGCGAGAGGGAGCTGAGCGTTGTTTCCTCCAGCGTTTGGGGCAGGTACTTCCCCTCCCTGTTTGTCAGGTTCACCTCCTACACCGCAGTGCTTTTGTCCGGGGGAAGTTGAGGAGGGATCCCCGAGTGGGCGAGATATTTAGGGTTCCAAGGTGAGCAGGATTGGACTGTGTGAAATCCTGACTACCGCAGCGCGCTGTCTGAAAGCGCAACTCCGACTTCCACCCATACCCACCCACCTCCTTCCCTCTGCTTAGGAAATGTCAGGGATTCCCGGGGCTGGGCCAGCAGGTCCGTAAAGCCCAGCGGCTCCGCTGCTCACGGGGTCCGGGGCATCCTTCAGGGGAGTAAGACATGGCCCTTGATTCCCTGGCTGAGGCTGGTTATTTCAGAAACAAGTGGTTCTGGAGATGCTGGATGCCTTATTAGAACAGCCTGTGTGGTGCCCCTTGACAACAGCGATGACTCATGTCGCTTTTTTCTCTCTCTCTTTTTTTTTTCAAATAAACTTGGTATTCAGGACCAAGTATGCCAGGTCATTTGTGACTTCGGTAGAACTGGAGACCCACACCTTGGGCCCTCTGAACCCTAGTTATAGTCCTAAATCTGTCAGCAAGGAGGATGACCTTGGATGGGCCCTCTCTGAACCTCCGTTTCCTTTTCTCTGAAATGGGGTATAAAAACAGAACTAGACAGGAGTCAGCTTCTGAGAGAGACTGAAATCTTTTTCCTTGTGAGAGTAGATCAGACGCAGGACCTCAGCATCAGCAGATGATAAGGATACCAGGAGGCACTTACAACAGATAAGATGCAAGAAAGACCGCAAACAACAAAACAAAATAAACAACTAATAATAATTGGTACAAGATTTATAGAATGAATACTGTTCTCATTCAGGCCATTAGCATATGTGGCTGTCCAGCTGTTTTGACTCTACAGTTGTTAAAAATGCTTTGAAAAAACTATGTCTATCTTATCTGCAGACCTGAATTTTTTTTCTTTCGTTTTAACCTTCAAGCCTGCAGTGGAGGCTCGGTTGGGTTGGTCTTGGTGCAGCCTTACTTGGAGAACACCCCCAGGATCTCTCACTGCCATTGTACTAAAGATTTCCTGTCTGACGGATACTGGGATCCTTGTACCAACACACTTCCATCATCTTTTTCACTGTGGTTTGAGAAGTCGTGTGCCGATTCCTGTTGCATCTGGCATTTCTTCCCTGGTCTCCTTTCAAGTGAGTGTCATTCATCTGCAAACAGTTCATTAGATGCAGCACGTTAAAAATAACTTGAAGTCATAATGTGTCCACTCCACTTAACCCCCAGACCCCAGACCTGCTGGGCAACCTCGGACTAGAACTTCTAGGTCATCTGCTGGCTCTCCTGTTTGGGTACTGAGGGGCACCCCAGAGTTGAAATGACGTGACCAGGCCAAATGGCACATTAATGAGGAAGCCATGACGCTGGAAGGGGAGGAGGATTTTTTTTTTCTTTCTTTCTGTGTTTTATCACAACTTGAATGCTCCTATCCTTTTGCTCTCTTCCATTAGCTTTCAAAATCCATATTGGGTTTGACCACATCATTTTCAGTAATCCTTTTTTTGTCATTTTCTTGGAGGCTGAAGTTAGTGGTTATCTCTGAGTCCGAAGTGGTAAAATTAAGTCCTCTCCCAATATGTAAATGTTAACTAATTAGATTGAATCTTTAGAATATCTATAGTGTTTATGTATGTGTGCTTGTCTGTGTGTGTAAGTTTTATTTTCACTTAGGGCTATAAAATTAGTGAAAATTATGAAGCTAATAATAGTTACTATTTGAGGCTCTACCACTTACTAGACACTGAAGAAACAAACTGTGTTACAGCGGCTAGTGCAACTTACTGATGATCTTTGAAACCAGATAGCCTTTGTGTAATAGTGGAAAAAGAATTCTTAGCTCTCCTACAGGGTGGTGGTAGGAAATGACATAATGTATATGAAAAGCAATGTGTAAGATGTAAAGTGTCTTGTAGCCCAGGCAATATTTTAATGTAAGCACTTGGGGGTACTGGAAGCTTGAGTCTGTGAGTCTTGGTATCCGGTAGGCCTCAGTGTATCTCCCGAGCCCATCCCCTGACCTCTCTGAGCCTGTTCTCATACATAAAATCAGGATCACTGCCTTATATTAACTGAGATCTACAGTGTGTGCTCAGTGAAGGTTGGCGTTCATCCCTTTCTCTCCCCTTGCTCACAGGCCCTCGGGATAATGGGATTGATGAAGTCTTCCTATAGGAATTGTCCTCAAGGGAAAAAAAGGCTTTTGGGGAACATCTTTGTACTTATGAATAATTCTTCCAGCTTTTGCCCTCCTGCCCCAATGCTCAGTGCACATGGTAAATATTCTAGGCCCTGCCATCATCTAAAAGGAGGGAGAGCAAAACCAGGAGCTAGAAAGGACAGTCTTTGATAGAAAGTTGAAGATGGGTGAGGCTGGTTTCCCTTTGCGCATTTGGTGCCCTGTCTCCTTTTCATTCGTTTTGTTGGGCAGGGAGAAAGATACCGAGTTTGGGAGCATTTCTAGCTGGAAGGAGGCACTGGAAGAGCCACAGTGTAAGGTGGGAGGGCAGGGTGGGCGGAGGACAGGGTGGTCTAAGGGCTGGACAGGAGATGGAAGAGTGGAATCTGACAGTACAAGCCAGAAAGGTCGATGTGAGGAAATCTTGGTTAGGTGTAGGATCTGGCTGAGTTTGGGGCCAGTTTCCATCCCATCCTATAAGGCTCTCTTGTGGGGCTTTGAAGTTTTTGTGCTCCAGGCAGATTTTGACTGGTTGTGGTGGCATCATAAATGAGTTTCCATAGTAAGTTGTATGCTGGAAAGGAAATTAAATTCCATGAGGGTGTTTGTTGTGACTGATGCCAGAATTTCTCAGAGAATTTTATTAAGATTCCGTCAGCCCATAAAAGTACTTCTTAGTTCTCTGAAGATATTAATTAAGAAAGAGTTTTCAAAAAAATAGAAGTGTCTCCTTTGGGAGCTTTTGAAATGTAATCTTCCTAATTTTTGGAACAAATGAAGTCCAGAAAATCATAGAGCTATATGTTTTAGAAACATTTCCTCCCCAGAGTAATGTTTTCCTTCTTTTCCAATTCCCTCCCTCTTCTTGCATTGTTTTGATAGTGAGTTAATTTTGGTTTCTTTCCCATTTTAGTAGCTTAATCTTTAGGTCAGTGACCTTTCGTGTGTAGATCTCTAATGAGTCTTCTTTGCCCTTGAGTTCATGGCTAGTCATTCATTATGAAGAGGTGGCAAAGCATAGGCTCCAGGACTCAGGTGGGGGACGGGTAGTCATCTCCATCGTGGTTCTTGAGGAGCAAGGCTGTCTATGGCTTGGATGTAATCCTGCCAGCAGCTCTGGTTGGTCATGCTATCCTCGACACACGGATGCGGATGTGGGCACCTGAACACATGTGCGTCCACGTTGCCAGCCAAAGTAGTCTTAGTGTCCACTGTGACCCGTGTGACTCCAGTACCCACACAGGTAGAGACCTTGCCTGCTCTGTGGGGGCTGGACTCTGTCCTGTAGGCTGGGGGGTCTTCATTAGGGAGAGGGGGTCAGGTCTGTGTTTTAGAATGGGTGGTGTGGGATAGGAAGTTGGGACTGGAAAATGAGTCTATTGGAGTTCCTGGCACTGTGGAAGGGTGATGAGGGCTTGAACCGGAGACACTGACTGTGGCAGTGGTGATGGTGAATGGGGACATGTCAGGATGGATGGCGCTTTGTCCCTTTGGATATGGGAGCTGAGAGAAGGAAGAACAAAATCCAGCCCATGCTTGTCTCTCCTCACCCCTCCACTGTAGCTCTGA